TTTTCTATTCACTTCTAATAACTTCTTTCTTAGGGGCAATATACAAACATTTGTAGAATGTAGACAACATTCAAAAAGACACTCATCTTCTTCCATAGACCGTTTAGATGCAAGATGAACAAATACCACATTTACAAATTGAACTCGTCAAAAACAAGTTAGTAGGCAAAATCATGGATAGAAGATCATTTTTGACCATCCAATAAAATATCTACATTTCTATCAAAACGAGTCAAGTTTTGTGGGGCAACTAATACCTACTACCTCGAACTTTCATAACCCTAGATGTTAGGTCTAGTCACAGCAGAGAAGTGAAGTGAGTGGTCCTACGGAGAATTGACAGACATGAATGCAGCATCCTATTTAGGGACTCTGCACTTATTTCTTCTTTTGTTATTATCTCTGGCTGCATGGTGGATGTCCATTAGAAGAAACCCTGAATGGAGTCAGGAAAAATGGAACTATTTGTTCAAATGCTTTGCAATGTCTAGAAAATAATTTGAAATAATAGGAGAGTTCCCTTGTTAGAAATTCAATATTTAATACTCAAGCTAATCTTCCTAAAGTATACACCCCAAATCTAGCCTGCCTTCATTTGCATGACATAGATTAACACATGCTGGGAAATTACAAAATCACTGATCCTATCATAATCAGGTCCTATTCCATAATGGTGACTCCAGCAGCTGTTTGCCTAACTACAGTGTATGCAATAAACTATTCCTCCTATTCTGGTCTGAAGATAGAAGCCATGTTCTACACACAAATCCTTTTCCTGTTACTGAAATGGACAGTTGACTACATGACTCAAATTTTTAATTTTAGAGCTCAGTGGTGGTTGAGTTCTTTAATCTAAGAATTTGGTTAGTTTAATCACAAGGACAACAAGGTCATTGCTCTGGGGAGCAATGGTGTGGGATCAAGGCTACCTGATCTAACATAAAAAAGTTTGTCTCAGAAACATTTTTCTACAATGCTGGAGGTACTGCTATTCTAGAATTAATATGTCTTCCCAGGGATAAATCATTCACACACTTAAAGTTTAATAGACATAAATTCATTTAATAACAGTATGGATTCAGTGGTGGCTAATGCTAAGGAGACAACCTGGCCCAGATTTTGCATTCCACATATGTTGCCATTCTCAAGTCTTTTTTTAGGTTCTGGCTTGAGGTTATATATTGAACAGTTTAAATAGGGACAGGAGAATGCAAGTCTAGCCACTTAGGCAGATAGAGATTTACAGAGCGAAACTATCTTTTAGATTATACATTATGATCAAAATAAAAATATATCATAATATATGATTTAGAAGATATATAGATCTTAATATGTGATCTAAAAGATACATTTAAAAGATGTCTTGATGCTACAATCCACACACATACAAAGGACAGAACACAAAATTTAAAAAATATTATGGGAAAGTCACCTATCCACACTGTGATTGTTCTTAAATCAACAGCTATTCTGAGCCATTCTAACCTCAGATTACGCCTTCTTTTGCCTCCACGCAAGCTGGCTCAGAGAAAGGCCACAGATGCTTCTTTGATGGACAGCCGTGACTGATGTTTATCTCAAGTCTGTGATTATTGTACAGAATTTTATTTTTTTAAAGTTTTGTTTTCTGTATATGGGTGTTTGACCACAGGTGTCTGTGTGCAGTTCCTGCAGAGGCCAGATGAGTGAATCAGATCCCTTGGAACTGGAATTACAGGAGATGGGTAGCAATCATGGTTTCTGGCAATGTAACCTGTGTCCTCTGCAACAGCTCCCAGTGCTCTTAAGTGCTAAGCTATCTCAATCTTTAAATGAAAAGCTAAGTTGCGTTTTCATTTAAAATTTATTTTTATACATTTTAACTAAAACATATTGCATCACTTTCCTCCTTCCTTGTCCTCTCCCTCTGTTCCCAAATTTTCCCCTTCTAATTCCTTCCTTGCGAAGTATGTGTGAAGAAGTATGTGCAAATATTTGAATAAAACCTGCTGGGTCCATTTCTGTTGGTTTTGTTATGGTTTCAGAAATGAACATGCGGTTTCAGATACACAAATAGGGATCTCCTCCCTGCCTGAGGCGAATTCATCCAACTGTGGAATTTTATTAATTGAGAAACATGATTCTGACCCTTAAGTGATCTAGGTTGACTTGGACAGAAAACATTATCAAGAATAGAAAACTTGGATTGGCACATACCTCAGCTAACATTTGCTGGTGACACAGCCCTGAAGTTCTAGGGCTGCAGTAAAGACTATGGACACTGTCCTGAGATAGCAATCTAAAGCTATCTATCTATCTTGGATATTTATCTATAAATATCAATCTTGGATATTTCCATATACAGAAAATGTATATGGAAAGCTACCCAGATTGTTATTAAGTCAGGATATACCTGAAACTGTGGATAAAAGGTACCCTGAATACTTACAGCTCTAAAGAGAAAGGTACCCTCGCTGTCATGTCAGGACATATCTACAGCTGTAAAGGAAAGCATGCTGGACAACTACAGCTATGAGAAAGGAATCCTGACTGTTGAGAAGTCTGTCTAGAACTGAAGCTGTGGAGGGAAGGTAGTCTAGTACCTAGGGCATTGAAGAAAAAGGTGCCCTGACTGTTAGAAGTCAGGCCATACCTACAGCTATGAAGGGAAAGTGTACTGGATACCTACAGCTATGAAGAGAAAAGATATCCTTGTGGAGGTCCAAGACCTTGAGCCTATTTCCACCTTTTCTGAAGGTCAGAGCTTGAGGTTGCTCAAAGTTGTTAACAGGCATGGCTACACACCCTGACCTAAGGTGGGTGTTTTGCCTTTTGGACTTTAAAAGGGCCCATACAGATAAATCTACTCCCCCTTGAGCAAAGTTGACAGAATTCAAACATACTTCTGCTCCTTTTGAATTAAGAGGTTTGACCTAGGGAATGACTGACTTTAGGATACTTGCTCTAGGGTGGGTACACTGCCTGAATAACAGAATGTTTTTCTAAATAATTAAGGACTTGATGGCTCAAAGTATTGAAGCAAGTAACTGTTCTAGGTGTCCTTTGCATCATGTTAAAGCAGTCTTTTGTCTTCTTCCCCCTTTTGTATTGAGGTATAAATGTATATGGAAAATTAAATGCAGGCAGATTTACACTATTCACTGGAACCCCCTCCCAGTACTACTCTATGCTTCTGTTTTATTATTTTCACTTGTGTGTTCATCCTCTTATTTTTCTAATCCCTATGCCCCTACCCTGGTAAGTCCCAGACATATAATGACTATTGGGAAGTCTGGCTATACCCGAGGCTGTGTTCCAGTGGGAGATGTTCTCCCTGCAGGATGTAGCAATGCTGCTCCCCTCCAAGAGAGCCATCACAGCTAGGCCCTGCTTCACTTTGCTAAGAGAGCTTCAAAGCAGAGATGCCCATTGCTGTTCTGCTCCGCTTCCCTAAGGGAGTTTCCTAGCACAGGTGTTAATTTTTTTCACAGTTTTGGCCCAATTTGTTACTTCTCTGCTTCACTGGAGTTGATGAGAAACTGTTGCAGAAATGTTGCAGTCTCTGGTGAAGAGTTGCTACTTCTGCTCTGCTCCTTTAAGGGAGTTTGCCAGCAGAGGTGACCAAAGCTTCTCTGTTCCAATCCACTACAGAGTTTCTTATCACTCCAGTGAAAGGTCTTCACCCAAAACTCACTCAAGAAATTTATTTGGAAGGGAAGAATCCAGGAGAGGGGCTGTCTCTGTCAGGGCAGAAATGTGCAGATGCCACCTGAACAGGTACAGAACTTATATAGGAATTCTTAGGGGCAGAGTATTCCCAGGGAGGTGGGAATTAGTTAGATGTCAATCCCTGATATTGAACAATGCAGAGATAGGCCGGATTTCATGCTCATGAATTAGTAGACCTCAAGCTTAGGGATTAGCCGGTTTTGTGCTCAGGTGGTCAAGGGTAGAGTGTGTTTCTTTGGCTCTTGTTTCAGGGCCAAAGTGTGTTCTTTCACTGGCCCTTTATAACCATTTGAGTCTGGTTTCAGGGTCAGGTGTTTCTTTCATTGCTCTGGATTCAGGAACAAAGTGTGTTTCTTTGTCTTGGTTTTAGAGTCAGGATGTATTTTTCTGGCTCCAGTTTCAGTCAAAATTATGTATTTCACTGGCTCTGGTTTCAGGCTCAGGATGTGTTTCTTTGGCTGGCCCATTTACCCTCCACAGATAGCTTCATAAATTGATTTTACCATGAGTTTGTAAATATAAACAGTATAAAAAGGACATCATAATGCTTGAAAAGATTGTTAACACTGTCAAATTTATTTCTACAGAAGAAATAGTCTTGTGTTGTAGGCGGAGGACTCTTGTTCATTCCTGGCTGCCCAGACACGAAATAATCACACAGAAACTATATTAATTAAAACACTGCTTGGCCTATTAGCTCAGGATTCTTATTAAATAACTTTGACATCTTAAATTAACCCATTCCTATTATTTTGCATTTTACCACAAGACTTGTGATTTACCAGTAAGGTTCCAGGGCATCTGTCTCCTTCAGCAGATATGTGGAGTCTGACTCCACTTTCTTTTCTCCTCTATCTCTGCTTGGAATTCCTGCCTTGCTCTATTCTGCCCTTCCAGAGGCCCAAAGCAGCTTCTTTATTAAACAATGGAAACAAAATACATTCACAGAATACAGAGGGGAATCCCAAATCATTGTGTAGCTGA